TGAGGCAAATGAAAAGGCAACATAGTGACCAACTGTTACTTAAATCTAGCCTGTAAAAGAATATTCTTTTTTTGCCAAGCCAGACTGTATCCAGCTTTATTAAACATACTTTCCAGAAACAATCATGGTATTTCAGAGAGGACATGGGCAGACAATCATTAACAGTCTAAAACAACTTTCAAATTCCCTTCTTCAATGGACTACCAAAAATTAGAAAGCCACTATAAAACCCAATGATGAAGTCTTCATCTGATGCTCTGAACAGGGAAAGTTTACAGTGAGGGTTGACATTTCACATTTAGCATGTTGTTTAACAACTTTTCATGAGTTGACCTTGACTTTCAGGAAGTGAAATTCAAATGGCAAAATTTATCTGATGATCCACAATTTAGAAACAGAACCGCTGCTCTTTTGAGGGTCGCCATCTCAGTGGCATCACTGGAAAGTCCAGATTGCCTGTCACACTGGGTGTCAGGTCCCAACAGGTGTCTGGGTTTAAGGGAGTTAAGTCTATCCTGACAGGTGGAAAGGGAGAAGAAGACATAAAAACAATTTGTCTTTTCATACCAAGGCTTTTGTGCCAAGGTGGCCGTGCATGTCAAAGTTAGGGAATCCCTCCTCCTGGGAACTAATAGGAAGTCTCTCAAAACTAGAAGGGAAAGGTGTTTTCCCCACATAAATCCAGCTTTATAGACATTCTATTAGTGACCTATTTCCCTTTCCTCCAAAGCAACAATGAATTGCTCTGTGTCTAACAACATATCTTTAAAAAAGTAAAACAAAATTCTAAATTACTTGATAAAAATAATGTTTCAAACTCTTCAGTCATCAGAAGTACACAGTTATCAAAAATGCAGACACTTCACTTGGCATCTCCAGGACATTCAGTTTTCTGTGCCTGGTCTGTTTTAGCATCTCTATCTTCTGCAGGGTTACTCCCCTCCTTGCCTGCGTCAGCATTTACCCTTTTCCCTTTGGGTACCTTATCTCCCTTCTTTCAAGGGGCTTCTTTAGGCTTGGGATCTGGCTTTGGAGGAACAGGTTTAGCAGACAACCTTTCAGATCTTCTCCGTGGTTTGCCCTTCACCTTGGCTTTATCTCTTTTAGCATTTCCTTCAGCCTTTCTCTTGGGGATGGTGGCAACAGCAGTGGGACATAGGTTCTTGGGGAGGGATGCAGTGGTGCACGGGCTTTGGCCACTCTGGGGAGTCATTCTTGACTCTTCTTCTTTCAGATTCTTTTTTTACTGTACAAGTCATTCCTTTGTTCTCCTCTGGCTTTCATGTATCTTCATCATTAAATAGTTACACCATCTAGTCCCGATTCAATTTCAGAAACCTTTCAGCATTTAACCCTTAGAAGATTTGCAGTTTAATCTTTTTATTAGTTTTCTAGGATTACTGTACCAAGGTACCACTCTAGGTGGCTAAAGCAATAGAAATGGAATATCTCACATTTCTGGAGTCCAGAAGACCATCAAATTATTGGCAGGGTTGGTTCTTTCTCACTCTCAGAAAGAGAAAACTAATAACTTCATGTTTCTGAGGTCAAATTTCCTTTATATAAGGACACTTGTCACATTGGATTGGAGGCCCTACTACTCCAGCATGATTTCATGGTAACTAAGCACATCTACAATGACCCTATTTTCAAATAAAGTCACATTCTGAGGTACTGAGGGTTAGGACTTCACCACATGAATTGAGATGGGAAGAGACATAATTCAACCCATAACAGTCTTAAAGTAAGAGGAGTAATTTCTATGTGTGTATTTTCCCAGAGAAATTTCTTAAAGTCCCAATAAAAAATTTCATTGATCCAATAATGATCATTCAGAGGAGCTGTTATTATGTGAGCCTCTATGAAAATTAGTATGCATTCGGCTGCAAGTGCCAGCCATATGAATGAACCATCTTGGGTGCCCAGCCCTGTTGAGCCTTTAGATTATTCAATTCTCAGTTCATATCTCCCTGCAGCCACATGAGAGATCCCATGAGTGAACTACCCAGCTAAACTTTCTCCCAATTTCTGACTTCCAAAATTGTGAGCAGAATAAAACAGTTGTTTTAAGCCAGTATGTTTTGGGTCATTTGGAAGAAATGTCCAAACCAAATAAATAACTCCTATAAAAGAATAAAAGAAGAGAAGCACCCCAATTGAGAATTGAGAAAAAAAAAATAGGAATTTCAAGTAAGAGGAATAAAAAATGTCCCCCCAACCAAGGTATTAAACCCAATTCATAATCATAGAAATTCTACTTAAAAGCATAGTGACAATTGACACTTCTCAGGATTAACAATATTTAAGTCGCATAATATGAAATGTTAGTGATGATATGGAGCTTGATGGAAACATAAATTTGTACAGCAACCCAGAAAACAATTTGGTGATATCTCTGAATAGTAAAGATAGTCTGATTCAGCAATGCCATGGCTAGGTACATAACCTAGAGGAACTCTCCAAGAATATCTAAAGCAGCATTGTTTCTGGATAGTAAAAATGGGAAACAACTTAAATATCTGTCAATGGGAAAACTGATAAATTTTGGTCCACACACACACATACACAATGGGATACTATACAGAAGTGAAAATTGATGAATAAAATTTGCTTATATCAAAATGGTGATTCTCACAAACAATGAATAGTTAATACAACAATGAATATGGATAGTATGATATCATTTCTACCAAGTGCAAGAGAGGCAAAGACAATTGTTTAAGGATATAGTCATTTGCAGAAAAAGCACAAAGAAATGCACATGGGGGTCACTGCTTCCCTCTATGAAGAAGAGAGCGGGAGACAACAGGGAAGGTATCTGCAGGTGCTCACCCTCACTGCAGTGTTTTATGTCTTCATTCAGACACTACCTTCAGGAGTACTGGATGTACTTTTTAAGCACTTTTTGTGTATGTTAAATATTGCAGAATGTATTGTATAAAGTATTTAATTACCAGAAGCTCTTTAAAACATTCCCAGGCCTGTTTCAGACTCAGCGGATCAGACTGCAGAGGTGGGACCCATGAATCTGCCCCCTCTGTGATCCCAATAATCACTACTAGTCTAAGCTAGGGCAAGGCCACCCCAGTGAAGGCTACTTCCTTCATGCTCTATTACACTTTTCACTTTAGAAGTAATAATGTTTATCCATCAGTTCCCCAACTTTGGTGCTGCTGTGTTAGCTACCATGCAAGGAGATGGGGAAGCAAAAGCAATGAAGACATTTCCACTGGTTTCAAGGGCAAAGGTTAACTCCAATATAAAGGAGTTCAAAAACTTCAAATTGGACATATTCACATCTGTCGTCTTGATTCCAGTGTTTCCAAATCATTTTTTCCTGATCCCCAGAACATCCACAGATCACTGCATCTGTCTGGGAACTTCGCAGGCTTCTTTCCGAAGATATTCCAGACACGCCCCTCTGCCTTGGCACTGATACTTGGCATCTCCCCTTGACATCTCAAGTTTGTCATTTACTCACTGTGTGACCTTGTGCCAGTAGTGTCCCTTCTCTGAACCACTGTTTCCACCCCTGTAAGTTGGGCAGATGAAGGTCCAGTCTGAGGCTGGTTGGGTCCTTGGAGTGATAAAGCCAGGAACTGTGAATGGACAAAAATAAGAGAAATCAATTCTAATAGTCATAAGGGAACCAGAGGAGAAATAGTCCCAATTCTACCCAAAGACTGATGGGCACCCATTGAGAATCCAGTTTCAATTCTACCTGCAATAAGGTGTGTGACTTGAAAATGTCTCTTAATCTCTCTGAGCCTCATGAGTCAAATCACGGTAATGTTAATACCTGCCTCAGAGTTCTCATCAGGAGTAAATGAAATAACTCTTGTAAAGATATTTTAGGAATTCTGTCTGACCAGGAAAAAGCCATTGGGGCCATTTCTTCTTGGTTCCTGACAAGTGACAGGCTACAAGCAGAAGACTGACCAGCACAGGGCGGGGATGTCGGTGGACAGTGTTGTGCCCCACTCACTGCAAGGTGGCCTCCCAGACTTCGCTGGATAGGTGACCTTGGCCTGAGAATCAACCACAAGCCCCTCTTTGTGTGGCTGGAGAGGAGCTGAAGCTGTGGGAACAGGAGGTGAGCATGTGGCTGGCAGAGCAGGCAGGACCCGCAGAACACCTGGGCCTACTGCCTGAGGTGCAGTCACTCCCTTCGTCCTTTGGCTGCTGCCCTGGGATCAAACGGACACAACACAAACCATGGCGCACCGCTGCCAAGGAGGGGCAGGCCCAAGGGCTTGGGCTCCAAATCCTGGAAGTGGTTTCCCAAGACACTAGATTTGCAGCACGCAAAACCGGAAAGGTCCAGGTAAACCCGGTAACTGGCACCTGGGCAGTGAAGCTCTTTGGGTGGAGGGCTGTGGGTCCCAGGAGCGGGATGGGCAGTGGGGAGATGGCGGACCCTCCGTGGGATGGTGTGCGTTAGCCACAAGAGCGCTGGGGCATCTCCTGCACGGAATGGCACCCACACCAGGTGCCCCTGACCTTGCCTGGCTTCACCAGCCAGAGGATCAGTCCTGGAAGGGGAGGGGAAGGACTAAAGCAGGTGAACAGGCCCCAGAATCGCTCTCCCTGCCCCTGGCCAGAACGCAGAACTGCCGGGCGCACCTCAGACCACTCCTTGGCTCTCTGGTGGGCACGCCCCGGGTGGGGGATACAGACCCCTCGCCTCGCTGGCGCCTCCGGAGCACGTGCGGGAGGGGCAGGAAACAGGACCAGGAACTCCGAGGTGAGAGCCAAAGGCTCAGGGACTGGCCGCCACAGACCTTTGGACACCGCAGTTGGGGTGGGGGGGGGGGTAGGAGTGGGGGTGGGCGGGAGCCTGTGTGCCCGGGCCCCCGTGGCGGGGGCGTAGGGGAGAGGAGAAGGTGACGTCACCCGGGAACCTGGGGCCCCCCGGGGCGGCGGCGAGAGCTCGGCCTCGTGACCTGCTCGCGCCAATGGCCCTGCGGTCTCCCAGGCGACGCGGAGGGGTCCGTGCTGCACCGCCACCGCGCCCCCGCCCAGTGTCCGCACTGCGGAGAGCTGCGGCGAGCAGGCGCCGGCGCATTGGCCCACGTGCTGCGCGAGCTAGAGGGAAGCAGTCTGAGCGAACGCCCGCGCGGGGAGCCAGGGGCACCCGACTCCGCAGCCGCCGCCGCACACAGGCCCCGGCGCACCCTGTGGGGACCCAGACCAGGAGGGACCCTGCCTCAGAAGAAGGTATCAGACTCACCTGGGGAGGGGGACGCTGGGCCCCGGGAGACTCTGCTGACCATCGCCTGCCCGCGCTAACAGAACTGAAGCTGCCTGCCGGGCAGGGGCCGGGGGTCCTGCGGCGGCGCGGGGAGGGTGCTGAGGCCCGCAGGGACCCCCGGGGGACGGGGCTGGGCAGGGGCGAGACCTGGCTGCAGAGGCGACGCCGGGTGAGGCGGGTGGCTGGGGGTTGGGGTGGGCGTGGACGTGGTGGGGAGGGGTGGGCATTAACCTCGCTCTCTCCTGGTTCGCATTCACAGGCTGTGGAGACCTGGGCCTTCAGCGATCATCCTAGGAGTTGGTCCTGATATGTGCCTCGCGCCCTAATCACTCCCCCAGATTAGTATCCGAAGAGATTCGGGAACATGCCGTCGACCCTGTTGCAGGACTGGTGTCGGGGGGAGCACCTGAACACCCAGAGGTGCATGCTCATCCTGGGTATCCCCGAGGACTGTGGACAGGATGAGTTCGAGGAGACGTTCCAGGAGGCTTGCAGGCCCCTGGGCAGATACAGGGTGATTGGCAGGATGTTTAGGAGGGAGGAGAACGCCCAGGCAATTCTACTGGAGCTGGCACAAGATATTGACTATGCTTTGCTCCCAAGGGAAATACCAGGAAAGGGGGGGCCCTGGGAAGTGATTGTAAAACCCCGTAACTCAGATGGGGAATTTCTCAACAGACTGAACAGCTTCTTAGAGGAGGAGAGGCGGACCGTGTCAGATATGAACCGAGTCCTTGGGTCGGAAACCAATTGTTTGGCTCCGAGAGTGACTATATCACCAGAGTTCTGGACCTGGGCCCAGACTCTGGGGACAGCAGTGCAGCCTCTGCTAGAACAAATGTTGTACCGAGAACTAAGAGTGTTTTCTGGGAACACCATATCCATCCCAGGTGCACTGGCCTTTGATGCCTGGCTTGAGCACACCACTGAGATGCTACAGATGTGGCAGGTGCCCGAGGGGGAAAAGAGGCGGAGGCTGATCGAATGCTTGCGCGGCCCTGCCCTCCAGGTGGTCAGTGGGCTCCGGGCCAGCAATGCTTCCATAACGGTGGAGGAGTGCCTGGCGGCCTTGCAGCAGGTGTTCGGACCTGTGGAGAGCCGTAAAATTGCCCAGGCAAAGTTGTATAAGGCCTATCAGGAGGCAGGAGAGAAAGTATCTAGCTTTGTGTTACGTCTGGAACCCCTGCTCCAAAGAGCTGTAGAAAACAATGTGGTATCTCGTAGAAATGTGAATCAGACTCGCCTGAAACGAGTCTTAAGTGGGGCCATCCTTTCTGACAAGCTCCAAGACAAGCTTAAGCTGATGAAACAGCGAAGGAAGCCTCCTAGTTTCCTGGCTCTGGTGAGGCTCCTGCGTGAGGAGGAGGAATGGGAGGCCACTTTAGGCCCAGATAGGGAGAGCCTGGAGGGGCTGGAATTAGCCCCAAGGCCACCTGCCAGGATCACTGGAGTTGGGGCAACACCTGTCCCTACCTCTGTCAACAGTTTTGAAGGGAGGCCTTCCCAGGGTTCCCGGCGCCGGAGGGGCAGAGGCCAACACCGAAGGGGTGGTGTGCAGAGGGCTGGCTCTCGAGGCTCAAGAAAACGGAGACGCCACACATTCTGCTATAGCTGTGGGGAAGATGGCCACATCAGAGCGCAGTGTGTCAACCCCTCCAACCTGCTCTTGGTAAAGCAGAAGAAACAGGCTGCAATTGAGTCGGGAAACGGGAACTGGGCTTGGGACAAGAGCCATCCCAAGTCCAAGGCCAAGTAGGCTCGGGAGAACAGGGCAACATTTCCTACCGCAGTCCAAGGAGACAAGAGAGATATTGGAAGGAGGGGAAAGAGGAGCCCAGACAAACAACAGATGAGTTGAGTGGGACAGAGGGACAGGGCAGCCAGACCAAGGCCAAGCTCCCTCACTCTCTGCCAGCTGGAAGGGACTTCAGCAATCAAGATCAACTGGTAACTGGCTCAGTGGGGGTCAGGTCCACATCCCCAAAGAGGTGCTGGAGAGGAAAGCAGGGAGTCACTGCATCCAGTGCATGGGGTGCTTGGGCCTCAGATGGGGACCCCAACAAAGCAAAGGCTGAAGAAGGAGCAGCTGGGGGTTCTGTCCTGCTCATCCGGCCACCCCCAAATACCCACCCTGTGGACTTCGAGATGAGCATGCCCACTGGTCCCCAGGCCATGTGGGACCTCGAGGAGCCTGCCTGGGGCCTGCCCCTGCCAGAAGGAGCCAGAGCTGGTGAGGAAGAGCTGTGGGGCAGAGGCAAAGGCCTGCAGGGGAGGCTGCAGGGTCCAGCCCGTCTTCAGGATCATCTCCACTGCACTAGGGGGGCCCCACAAAGACAGCACCCTGGAGGCCCTGTGCCAGTGAGGCCAGGAGACCCTACGGCTCTGGGAACCCAGTGCCAGCCAGAGGCTGTGCAGGCAAGGAGACCAAAGATTGATGAGAAGACCCCCAGCAGGGGCACTGGGAACCCAGCAGGCCAGTGTCCTCACAGCTGACTTAGGCCAGGGTGGCTGTGAAGGGAAGTCTTTGTTGCAAAGGAGGAAGAAAAGGGAGGACTTGGTGGGGGTTTGTTTCTTCTGCTTGTTTCTATACAGGGCCACCAAACTCCTGGAGAAATCAGGCAAGGAACATCTGGGGCTGCCATGGCCAAAGCAACTCAACAGATGCTAACACCAAGGCCGGCCCCAACCCTGCCACCTCGGGAGTCCAGCCTGAGGCAGCCCTAAGCAGCCAGCTGTGGCCTGGGCAGGGGCACCTGAAGACATCTGTCCCGAATCCCACTGGCCCTGAGCTGGGAGATGACAGGGCGAAAGAGGCCCTCTCAAGGGTTCTAGCTGCCTGGGTCTCCCAAGAGGGGTCCCCCCACTCGCTGTCACCGGGAAGACTGCCCCTGTTCCGGGAATCCCACCCTCACCTGTGTAGGCCCTGTAGTGACCCATGCGCCCAGGAGATGCCCACCCACTGCTAGCCGTTGTTCCTGTGCAAAGTTGTGTGCTGTGCGCTCACCCGGGCGGCTGCCTCTGGGCCCGGGACACGTGCTGTGAGCTTCCTGCGAGCCCACACTCTGCTCGCTGCTGTCTTTCCCGAGTTGTGAGCACCACCTCTGCTTTCCCGGCGTAGATCTAGGCCAGGGGCTGCTTGTTCTGGTGGAGCTGTGTGTGTTCTTCTCTGAGCAGCTTCTCTCCGGAGGCCCCCAGTGCAGTCCCAAGAGATGGCAGAAAGGAGGCGCCAGGACACGACGTTCACCCCATCACCACGGTGATGACAGTGCCTGCAACAGGAAGAACCGGACCCAGGACAGAGTGGGGCTGCCCTGCCTGAGGCTCCCCGGGGAGCTTTGTGCTTTGGTGTTCCACCCCTGTTGTCACTTGTGACTCAGTTTCCTCCACCCAGTGGTGTGTTCTCTGCTGTGTTTTCCAGTGTCCTGTGACTGTCCTGTGAAAGCCATAAGGCAGGGCCCCACCCCAGCGGATGGGCTCAGGAGGGGGCTTCCTGAAGCCAGTGGACACTGCCAGAGTCCACCATCCTGGCAAGAGGCGGACCTGGGGCCCTCAGGAAGGAGGGAGGTGGCCACGGGAGCCACAGTGGGAGGTGAGGCAGATGAGACGATTTGCCAGGAACCCCAGGAGGAGGGGCCCCAGGACCTGTGGCCTGTGGTGGCTGTTTGCAGTTTCTCTCTGTGTTGTGGTCCACTTCTCTTCAATGGTTTCAGTATGTGTTTCTCTTCAATAAATTTCATTCCGTGTTCCAGCTCGTCTCGCCTCTTCTGTCGGAAACTGGGGGTGAGGTTGGTTGGGGATGGGGTTAGGGTGGAGTGAAGGCCATTGGGGCTTTGTTAACACTGGTATATAATTGGGGCTTGGTCTACAGTGCATTGTAGAATGGGCTATCTGCACACGTTAGTCATGACCTAGAGTTTGTGGCTCATGGACCTAGGCAAACCCAGCTGAGCAGGCTGGATAGTCCCAGTAGACAGGACACTGGTGGGCCCAGGCAGTGGCTGGTTGGGTGTCCAAGGCACTGGTTGAACTTCTCCGAAATGAATGAGTAACACATTTAAGGGAGGATGAGGGACAGCAGGCAGGACCAGTGGCCCTAGGATCCTTTATATCACTGTTGGGGTTCAGGGCTTCCACAACTGGTGTATCAAAACCAGGCCAATTTCTGTGAGTGTGTGCGAGATGGGGAATATGTGTGTGTGTACTAGTGATTGTGTGAGAGTGAGTGTGGGAGAGTGTGTGAGTTTGTGAGTGTGTGTCATGTGATAACGAATATGTGAATATGTAAACGAGCATGTGAGATGGTGTGTGAATGTGTTAATGAATGTGTGTTTGTTTTTGAGTGTGAGTGTGCATTAGTTGTGTGTGAGTGAATATGTGTTAGTGCTCAAATGTATGTTTGTGTCTAATGTGTATGTGTGTTAGTAAAAGTATGTTTGTGAATATGTGAGAGTGAGATGTGTGAATGTGTGTATGACAGTGAAGGTGTGGGTGACTGTGTTTTTGACTGTGTACATGAGTGAATATCTCTGTGTTTGAGAATGTCAATGTCTATGAGTTTAAGTGTGTATGCGTGAATGTGTGGAATGGGTGAATGCATGTGTGGGTATGCGTGTTAGTGTGTATGAAACAATTTATGAGATGGTGTGTGAATTTTCATGTGAGTGCAGGTGTTGGGTGATTGGTGGAATTTTTATTTCTTTAAGGAATCAAGAGAGTTGGAAAGAAGGCAGACAGAGGTAGAAGTTGCTTTGCTGCAAAACGGCAGTGAGACTTTTGTTGCCTCTAGGCTGATCGGCCTAGAGCTGGGCCTGCCTGCTGTCTAATCGTCCATTTCTCACCCCTGGTACATTCCTGTTTTTAAGGTTCACATGGCTTCTTGGCTTTTTGGCTAAGATCAAGTGCAGTATCTATTTTAAGGTCCCTAATCTTAAAATAGATATGTGTTACTGTTATTGTGTGATTAAAGCTGATAGAAACATCCTCGTATGAGTCTCTGCGGACTTTTGTTTTCCTTTCTCCTGCACAAATACCTGGGAGTGGAATGGTTGGGCCACAGGGTAGTAGTGGTATATTTAACTTTATAAGAAACTTCACACAGATTTCCAAAGCTATTGTGACAATTTATACTCTAATGAGCAGTGCCCATTTCTTAGGATACTCCAAAAAATCTTCTACTGCCAGTTTTAAACTTTTAGCCATTTCGTTGGATGACTCATCATGGTATCTCACTGTGGCATTAGTTTGCATTTCTGTGATGACTAATAATATTGAGCACTTTTTTGTGTGCTTATTAGCTATCTGTCTATCTTCCTCAGTGAAGCGCCTATTCCCTTGCCTAGTTTTTACCTGGGTTTTTTTTTTGTTTTTTGTTTTTTTTTTTTTGAGTTGCACAAGTTGTTAAAATATTCTGGATACAAGTCCTTTGATATATGTGCTGGGAATACTTTTTACCAATTGTGTCTTATACATATTCTGAATGGAATGGTGTCCATTTATAAGCAGACGGGTTTAATTATAATGAAGTCCACTGCATCCTTTGTTTCTTTCTACAATGACTGCTTTCTAGGTCCCGTCTAAGATATCTTTCATTGTCCCACATTTACAAACATATTGACCTATGTTTTCTTCTAGAACCTCTGTAGTTATAGCTTTTGCATTTAGGTCTTAGAATGTACCTACATTGGTTGGGCACAGTGGCTCACACCTGTAATCCAAGCACTTTGGAAGGCCAAGGCAGGAGGATTGCTTGAGCCCAGGAGTTTGAGACCAGCCTTAGCCTCAAAAAAAAAAAAAAAAAAAAAAATTCCGTGGGTGTGGTAGTGCATGCCTATTATCCTAGTTACTTGGGAGGTGGAGGTGGAAAGATTGCTTGAGCCCAGGAGATTGAGCCTGTGCTCCAGCCTGGGTGTCAGAGCCAACTCCTGTCTCAAAGAAAAAAAAAAGAATGTACCTAATAAGTTATTGGTGTAAGGTCAGATACATTTGAAAAGACTTTCCTTTTGACATTGATTTTGTTTAGAGTGTTGGTCAAAAAATGTTTGACTTTGTACCTGTGGGTCTGTAACGGGACTCCTCTGCAAATGTAGGGAAGGCTGCTGATCTGGGGCTCCCTCCTACCATGTGTTTGATCTCACCCAGAAGTACGCGAAGTTAGCCGTCCTCAAAAAAGGAGGTAGTTTGGATTTGGAATCAAACGTGGTCATCTGAGTCAACGGGAAGGGCTGGTGGTGGACACCAGGGCCCCTTGGGGGGAAGTGAGGGGGTCCTGATCCCATTGTGGGGTGAGGGACCTGCCCAGGCTCTGCCTCTGCCTGCCTCCAGGGTGCTGCTCCCGGAGAGGAGAGGAGGCCCCGGGGCCCTCAGAGCCTATTTAACCGGGGAGGGCGCATGCTGGCCTGCCTCTTAGGCCCCATCCTAGTTATCTGACTCCTCCAGGATGGGCTTGAGCCCCTCTTGGAGGGGGTCCTTGGCCTCCTGGCCTCCTGTCTGGACGAAGCCCGCTAGCCCCCAGCCAGGACCTCTTGGGGCCGCCTGGACAGCACTGCCCATCTGGGCTGGGGAGGGGGCCCCGGGGGCTTGGTGAGCCCTGTCCGACCTAGACCTGCGAGGATTTCGGGGGCAGGATCCTGGTTGTCCTCTTCCTGGAGCTCCTCCACCTCCTCCTCCTCCTTCTCCTCCTCCTCCTTCTCCTCCTTGTCCACCTTTTCACCCTCCACTTTAGTGCTGGCTCTGGCACCAGCCTAGGCACCAGCCCGGGCACCCACCCATTCCTGTGTCTGGGCTCTCATGCTCCTGTCTAGACTGGCCTCCCATGCCTCAGACTCCCGAACGAGCCCTGGCATCTCCAG